ATCAAAATAGCCCAAATGCCTTACACAATAGGGTCTTTGGGCCCAAAAGCCTTAAAGTATGAGTCCTTTGAGGGTAAGGGTTATGGCTCTACTTGGAGGATCATGGGACTTAGTAAGTAGGGTTATAAGTACCTTAACTGGGGTTATAAGTAATTATAAGTATAGTTACCTTAATTATAACCCTAGTTACTAAGTCCCATGATCCTTTAAGTAAGCCCAGACTCTAGCATAAAGCTCCACGGCTCTACACCGCACAGCACGAAATCCTAAAACTCGAACAACCCCTCCAGACACAAGCAATAGCAATGGTATTGGTAAGCACAAAAGTATCAATACTAGACATGACAATGAACCTCATGTCTGTCACTATCTCTGAAAGTCCTGGCGATGTACTTGTAGAGAGGCATTCTGCTGGCAGCTGCGCCTTCGAAAATTGGAAAGGTTTTGAGCTTGAGTTTCGAACTTGGGGGTTCAGGCTTTAGAGGTTTTAGGATTTAGCGCCGTCCCCTGTCAGGATTTAAGATTTGGGGCTTGGACCACTTCAACGATGGTGACTTTGGGGTTTGGGGTGCCTGAAGGATGATAGCAGCATCTGCGTTTGCTTTTCGGTCTTTGCTTAAGGCTTGTTCGTGGTGAAGGTTTCCGGATTCGGGGCGAACGGGCAAGAGGTACTTCCACATCCTTTGCCTAACGTCATTGAAAGCCATGAACCCTGCAGCTCCAACACATCCGAAAACCCGAAAAAACTCTAACCACCCTTCACTCGAAATTGTTTGCAGCATCCTCATCTAAACCCTAAGCCACTGAAAGTACCCCCCTGAGGCTCCACACTAAAACCCCGAAGATCTTTAGAACGTGGAAGCCCGAAACCCTAAATCCTATATTCCTTAAACCAATAACATTGCCTCCGCATGAACCCCTAAAACCTTACAGTAACCCGTATAAAAACCCTCCTAGGACCCTTGTAGACACCCTGTTTTGGAAACCTTATAGAAGGCCTTATATACAAGCCCATGTAGAAACGCTTTGTAGAAACCCCCTATCGAAAACCTTATAGAAAACCTTATAGAAACCCCTGTCGAAACCCTGATACAAACCCTTATAGAAGGCCTTCTAGAAGCCCTACAGTATACCTTAAACTACCAAAACCCACTTCTTTGTGGGTTCTTATTATCAACCCTAATATGGAGTTTATAGGGACCTTACGAAAAGTGGGGTTTTGGTAGTTTCAGGTAGACCCTAACGTAGGAGCCCAAAAAAATCAGTATGGTTTTGGGACATATTGTACTTTAAACGTACTAAGGAGTTCCTAAACTAGTATTGGTAATGATTAAAGACTCTGCGTGTAATTGTAATAATGAATTCCTAAACTAGTATTGGTAATTATAAAAGATCCTATCTATACTCGTAAAAAGGACTTCCCAAACTAGTATTGGTAACTACTGAAGCCCCTAAAACCCTAAACCCTTAACCCCTAAACCCTGAACCCCTAAACCCTAAATCCTAACTAACCCTAAACTAAGCTGTTCAGTAACCAACTGGGAAAAAGGTATATACTTTTGGGGGTTAGTTATACTATACTAGGATCCAATACCCCAAAAAAGTAAAAAAGGATACTACTGAACATCCTCGTAAACCCTAAACCAGGCTTCTATATGAGACCCCAAATCCGGAAGAACAGGAGACTACCCTTGGAGTCTCAAGGGCACTCGAAGTCAGACCGGAGCCCGGTTGAGGTTTCAGGGTTTAGGGTTTAGGGGTTTAGGGTTTTAGGGTAGGGTTTAGGGTGTAGGGTTTTAGGGTTTAGGGCTTCGGGTTTAAGGTGTCGGGTTTAGTGTTTCAGGGTTTAGGGTTTTAGGGTTTAGGGTACAGGGTTTAGGGTTCGGGGTTTAGGGTTTAGGGTTTTAGGGTTTAGGGTACAGGGTTTAGGGTTCGGGGTTTAGAGTTTAAGGTTTAGGGTTCAGGGTTTAGGGTTTAGGGTTTTAGGGTCTGGGGTTTAGGGTTTTAGGGTTTAGCGTTGAGGGTGTAGGGTGTAGGGTGTAGGGTTTTAGGGTTTAGGGTTCAGGGTTTAGGGTTTAGGGGTGTAGGGTTTAGGGTTTAGGGTGTAGGGTTTTAGGTTTTAAGATGTGCTCGGAGGGGCTTGCAGTGAGAGCTCGCACGCCAGAGTTAAGCAGGGGCCTTATTAACAGAATGAGGCTGTAGTTGGGTAATTGGGCAACTCAGGCCTCTCCACCTTCGTCACAGTAGAATGAAGCCGGCGAAGAACTTTAGGGTTTAGGATCTGGTGATGGGAACGGCAAAGGTAATAACAGGGTATTAGGATGCTGGACATGATACTGAAAAAACTAGTATTTAACGCGAAAAAGCAGTAGTGACAGTGGCAAATGCAATGATCATGCGAGGACATACATCGCCACGTGCCACTGCGGCGAAGACTTATAAAGAACAATAGCAATACAACTTTTGTAGCACAGCCGCAGTTTTGTGCACCACGCGCTTCTGCCGGATGGCAACTGGCACCTGAACCACTTCCTGCAAGAAATCCCAGTCAAGGTTGGCTTTGGGGCTTGGGTCTATGGTCCTCTAGGAGAGTAGGATTTTCAAGTGCTTGGTTGAAGAATTCATGACTATGGGGCTTGAAAATGTTACGGCTCCCGGGACTTGGAGCATTTGAGCTTCTTAGGAATGACGCAAGCAGGCTCACAGGTTCTAGGAGTAAGACTTGGTTTCGAGCTTAGGCTTCAGGGTTTAGGGTTTAGGGATTAGGGTTTAGGGTTTCGTTTTTAGGGTTTTTGGATTAGGGTTTCGACTGGAAGGTAGCCGAAGAGCGATAGAACAAAAACCAGCAGTCAGGCCTCCTTCTGCATTGGCACATGGACCTCGATCACCTGTTCGACCTGCTGCAGGAAGGTCTGGTGACAAGATCCGTCGGTCATGTCAAACACTAGTATCACAGTCCCTATATATCCATGATGCCAGCTAACCATGCTAGATGAAGAACTTCTGAAAATAGATGCCTCTGAAGCTGCAGTCGAGAATGCGACGTACCTCGATGTGATGATGTCGCTCCTGGATGTCACTCACCGGCACGTGGACTATCTCCTGCAGCTCGGGACGATAACAAAGCCAGTGCAGAAGATTTGTGTATCTGCGGCTTTGGGTTTAGGTGGCCTAAACCGATGCAGACCCCTTCGATTATGATCCTCATTCTGCGAGAAAGCTTCATCAATCAAGGGTGGATCCATTGCTCATCTCACTTTTTGAAGCTTAGCTTCTGACGAGGGAGACGTCGACATATGCTTGAAACTTACCGGAATCCCCGAATAACCTGCCCTAAATCCTAAACAGGAATCCCGATCACCCTAAACCCTAAACCCTAAATCTCAAACCTCCAGCTATAGGGCTGTTTCTGCTGAGTTCCTTCTATCTGTCCTGAAAAGGGCAGAGTTGTCTGGGCCAGGCTACAAGTAGGGGGTTAAACACTAAACCCAATACCCTGTTGTGAAGGATGGATTCTCCAAAGGAAAAACCTCCCAAGAAGGGGAGTTCGACAAGTTCGGGTTTCGTTTAGGTTCCTGTTTATATGGTGCCGTACCGTTTTGGGGACCTGACAAAACCCTGATTCAGAGAACTACCCAGAGGCAGCTGCACATAAACTTTCGGAGGTGATATCCGACGGATTAGGTTGTTGATCAAACCTAGACCTACACCTAAAATGACAATTTCTACCTACCTTTCTTCGGCTTAGATCCTCACGCTCCTGTGCCCTGTTCTTGTCCTAAACCCCTGGAGAGTCATACCCTACCCCTTTTTTAAGGTACCTAGTTTTATGGTTAAGAACATAGAAAAGTTGGTACCTAAAAGTAGGTGCCCCAAAAGAGAGGTAGGATATGAGCCTACAGGCAAACCCTAAACAGGTAGGTTTTGGGGCCGCCTCGCGTGCTTCGGGCACTGGGATGTCTACGTAGCGGTCAACAGTCCGGTGCTGGATGCGCTCCTCAGGAAACGAGGGTTCAGGGTTCAGGGTTTAGGGTTGAGGGTTTACCCTAAACCCTAAACCCCAAATCGTAAACCCTAAACTAGGGTTTAGGGTTGAGGGGTTCAGGGTTTAGGGTTGAAGGGTTCAGGGCTGGGTTTCGGATGGCTTAGGGCATAGAGGCTTTCGGTTTAGGATTCAGCTCAGGCCTTGGGTTTATTTTACTCGCTCGGATATCGATTTAGGGTTTAGGGTTTAGGGTTCTGAGAAGGGGTCCGACAAGGTAGCACATAAGGGATGCCGTGGTGAGGTTGAGGGATTTTGGGGTTTAAGGTTTAGGGTTGAGGACGCTTCTGCAGTTCAGGAGGCACCCTGGCACCCTCAACCCTAAATCCTAAACCCTAAATCCCACACCCTAACCTCTCGAAGGCTCTGTGTTGGATACAGAAGGGCACTATGTGTTGACCAAATCAAGAGAGCAATAGCGTTGGGTTTTGTGCAAGGGTTTAACCCCTAAACCACCAAACTACTAAACCTTAAACCGATAAACCCTAAATCCTATATACTCAACCATAGACCCTACTAAACCTTAAACCGATAAACCCCAAACCCCAAATACTCAACCTTAAACCGCTAAGGGTAGGAAGCTGAGGGTTTAGGAACATATTGGCCACAGGGAGCTTCTGGCCTAACCACGAGGTCTCAGCTCTTATTCGGACATGCAAGCCCTAAACCCTAAACCCTAAGCCCTAAACCCGCTGAGTACCCTTCTGCCTAGGGTCCAGGCTTTCGGCTTGATGTTTAGGTTTCGGGGTTTACGGCTGCGGGTCTTGATTCGATGTTGAGTCTTGGGTTTTGCATCTTGTGTCTTGGGTTAGGGCGGTTAGGCTGGCTATAGTCGACGGGAGCTTCAAAATTTAGGAAAGGTTTTGGGGCACATAGTGCAATACTATACAGGGACCATCTGCGGATTTCTTCACGACCCCTTAAATCACAGTTCGCCGAGAAAGCTTGAAGCAGCCCTCAGTATCATTGCGAATTCCCTGAGCCCGCGCGGTTACCCAGGCTCAGCTTGCCGTGGGTAGAAGAATACTGCATAAATACAGAGACGAAGTGGTATGCGTATAGATGATGTATGACAATCTGCGAATGCATGTATGCATACATGCATGCATGCATGCATGCATGCATGCATGCGTGCGTGCATGCATGCATGCATGCAAGCATGTATGTATGTATGTATGTATGTATGTATGTTTGTATGTATGTATGTATGTATGTATGTATGTATGTATGTATGTATGAACGCAAGTATGCAATGTAGCGATGTAACTATGTAACTATGTATGTACGTTTGTATGTTTTCTGTATGTATGTATGCATGGTATGTGATGAATCTGTGTACCGACGTATCGAAGTATGTATGTATGTATGTATGTATGTATGTATGTATGTATGTATGTATGTATGCATGTATGTATGTATGTATGTATGTGTGGACATACGTATGTCATGAAACTATGTATCGATGTATCTATGTATGTATGCATGTATGTATGTCTCGACGACGCGTCCTGGGTGATGATCTTCGGCACATGGACCTGACGAGAATCCGGACTGAAATCGCTACAATTTGTGTAGGGATGGCTTAGGGCTTACGTCAGCAAGCAATAAGCCTTGCCCCAACTCACTTTTGCTGCTAGATCACCTCTCCTGTACCATGCCATGCGACCGCGACCCATGTATATGGTGATGTACGTCGCTGTAAGCATACTTGCAGGTGAGCCAATGCTGTTCTTTCGGCCGTATGTTCGAAAATTACTTCAACTAAGATATTCTAGGCCATGGTCCTTAAACTGTGAACCTTAAACCCTAACCCCTGAAACCTTGCATTCTGCCATGCCGCATAAACGCCGCATTATGACAAGAGCTGTGCCGGCTGTTGTCGGAAAGTCTAGAGCAGCATCGAACTATGTAAGATGTTACAATCCTCCATCCCGAACCCCGAAGAGTAATGTAGGGGCCTTAATGATTAGAATAGGGTTTTGGGGTATATGATACTATAATTTTTTTAGGGCACCCCCGAGATAGTAGAGGTAATTACCAAGACCCCTATATTAAAGTGCTCATGTTGGGAACAGTACTCACATTCTCGAGACCGGCTGGCAGGAGTGTGACGGCTTCATGTGAGAACTCTGCCTTAAACTGTAGCACGGGCACCCAAACCCAGGACCCCTGACTCTAAATACTAAACAAATCCTAAAGCCCGTTAAATCCTCGCTTTCTCAAGAAACACCCCAATGCTGAGCCGAGCCCCAAAGCCTCAATTTGCAGCCCTAAAGCCTTCCGTACTTAAACCGTCAGTCTTAAACCCCAAACCCCAAACCCCAAACCCAAAACCCCAAACCCAAAACCCCAAGCCCTAAACCCCAAGCCCTAGAAGCCCTAGAAAGGCTCCCCAGGTAAGCTCCCGGCGATCTCCTCGACGATGTGCTCAACTGGATGTTGCACCACTCGGGGCACCTGCGAACTCTAAGATTCCGGAGGTTTTACGGTTCTGATGTTAGATACAGCTATAGGCTATAGATATAGATATGTGTGTGTGTAATCTGTATATTATATATATATAAGTATAAACAGAAGGTGTGTATAAATATGTATATATATATATAGATGTATATGTATACATACATATATATATGTATATTTACATATGTTTACAGATCACATAGCCAGCTAGCTAGCTAGCTAGCTAGCTAGCTAGCTAGCTAGCTAGATCGATAGATAGATAGGTAGGTAGATAGATAGATAGATTGATAGATGGAAAGATGGATAGATAAACCGATAGGTTGATAGATCGATAGATCGATGGATCGATAGACCGATAGATCGATAGATCGGTAAATCGACAGGTAGATAGACAGATAGACAGACAGATAAATAGATAGATAAACAGATAGATAAATCGATCGAAAGATCGATAGATAGACAGAGATAGATAGAGAGAGATAGATAGGTAGACAGATAGATAGGTCGATAGATAGGTAAGTAGATAGTAGATAGGTAGGTAGATATGTATGCACATGAAAATACAAATCTGGATATACGCAAAACAGGACATGAACATCTATGTACATACGCACACACACACACACACTCTCTGTACACCGGTTTCGACGATTTATACAAGTTGTGTAACTGTTCGCGATGCTGTTGCAGAATAACAGTTTCTGAACGGGTTTCCTTTGCCCTCTACCGTAGAGAAGACGGTTAAACCTCAAGCCCCAACAGGCTTAGGATTCTTGCGGATTGAGCCGGGGGGGGTTGAAAGTCCGAGATGGCTCCTTGAAGTTTGAGGGTGTAGGGTTGAGGATTTACGGTGTAGTTTGGGATGCTGAAGGGTTCTACTGTTGACGGTATAAACCCTGCATTACCCATAATAAGGAGTTTACCATAGTTCCCATAGTTTAGGGTCCTTAAGGCAATGCAGGATTGATATCATCAACCGTAGGGGCTTCAGGGTTTGACATCACTTTGGGTCCCCTGGCTAAGATTTGACTGCCACGCTTTTAAATTTTAGGGTTTAGGGCCACGCTGTGTCCCAGCACGAGCCTCCACCAGCTTCTCGACGACCTGCACCTGCGAGAGCTCTGCTCTCTGAAGGGGTTTAGGGTTTAGGGTGTAGGGTTTGCTGCTTGCTAAGTTGGCGATATACCTTCAAATCACAGAAGGACCCTCATGTAAGTCAGGGCGTACGGCGAAATTGTGTGGTGTTGGAGTTCTGCTACGGTCAACTACAGTCCTCTGTTTCCGGAAAATTCCTGAAATGGCACTTGGACCTACTACTGATGCCTCAACCCTAAACCGCTCATCTTCTGTCCTGGGGTCTCTGGACTCTCTTTGCTCCTGCAGTTGCGACTCACAACCGAGGCTAGGGCCAGCGTGAGTATTGCAACTCCTGGCACTACTTCTACTACTTATGTCGCCATTTCTTGCTCAGTCACTTAGGATACCACTTTTCCAGCGCACGGAAGGACTCGGCCTCTTTACGCGCTTTCATGAATGGCACCAGAATCTAGCTGACTTGACTCCTTTAGACCTCCACTCTACCCAAGCGATGCTGCTGCTCGTCGGCTGTCGAAGGCCTGAAATGCGCAGCGGTTGAGGGTTTAATCAGTTTTTATGCCAGCTCGCTCCATTGCTGTATTGCTCTGCTCTTTGCCAGAAAAATTTCGTGGTGTTAAAGCATAACGGCCAAGAAAAATGACGACCACGATCACCACCAGCAGCGTGAGCGTCGACTCATTCGAATGACTAGAACCCCGCTGTCACTCTGCCGAAACTTGCATAGCCCAGCACAAAGCCCAAGACCTGCTGCGACAGCCAAAGACCATCAACATATGCCCGTATATCATACAGCGATTTTCCTCTCTCTCTCTCTCTCTGTGTTCTCTCTCTCTCTCTCCCCCTCTCTCCCCCTCTATACATATGCATATGTATATATATATATATATATATATGTACACACATACATACATGCGTGTGTTTGTGCCTGTACATGTACATACACATATATTCATATATATATATATATACAGAATCAGAAAGATAGACAGACAACGAGATAGAAAGTGTGTCTATGTGTACATGTGTATATGTCACTGTAGGCATGCCAGTCATATACACACTGCAGCCACAACTGTACCCCGAAACCCTGCCATATCCATCCCTGATGAAGCATCCTCTCTCTTCCGTTCGGAGCCGTAGCAGCAGTAGCAGTAGCAG